ACACATATGAAACTCATTAAATAATTGCATGTTTTTCTTTTGAAGTGAAGAAAAGAGAATTCTGTGAGGAGTGCAGGGTCCTGCCTTTATGAGGCTATGGCATAGATGCTGGTCCTGGCTCTGTGATGTCCCTGGGGAGGTCCAGGAATTGGGGGGGGAGGGGGTTGTTGATCTATCTCTGTGTAGTTCCTCTTGGGGCAGGTTTGGGCCCCAAGAAGCGCCTGAGACTGCTTCTATGTGGCTTCCACTAGGGGCGCAGTCTGCCTCTGTGCTGTTGGATGGCCCCTATCTGTCTGGTTGCTTGTGGCAGTAGGACAGAGACAGACATTTGTGTTGGTCCTGTTTCTCTGCTGCCTTCCTGTGTGTGAGGTCTGTCTCTAAGTCGGTGTTCTCAACTTTTCCTAACGCTGTGACCCTTCAATACAGTTCTTCATGTGGTGGTGACCTCAACCATAACTTTATTTTCATTGCTACTTCATAACTATAGTTTTGCTACTGTTATGAATCATAGTGTAAATATCTGTTTTCTGATGGTCTTAGGCAACCCCTGTAAAAGGGCCATTTGACCCCAAAGGGGTCACAGTCCACAGGTTGAGAACCATTGCTCTAAGTGGCCTACCAGACCAAATTTCCACCTTTTAGGAAGCTGTGTGATTGTGATTCCAAGTTGTCCCCATCCTCAGTCCTCAAGTCATAGGCCCAAGGCACATGCCCTCGGTTCCCAGGGTGAGTTGAGTAGGATGGGGTCTTTCTCTCTAGAGCTGCCTAGGGGCTGACTCAGCAGGGATCTTTTGTAGGTGGCTTCTGCTACTGCTGCAGTCAAGTATCCAGAAGAAAGGAGGATTTCCCTAGAACCATCCTGCCCTAGGAGGTACAGCCCTTAAAGTCTGTCTTCTGCCCTTCTCTACTTCTCCCTTGCTCCTTCCCTCCCCCCCCTCCCCCTCTTCTTCCTTCTCTCCCTGCTGTCATCAGGGGCAGAGGTTCCAACCCCTTAGGTCACACCCTTTTGTCTAGGAAGACAGCACTCCCCGGTCAGGACCGAGGCCTTCACATCACAAGTTGTGGTTTCTTTCCTGTGGTGTTCCCCAGAATCCCTCCAACTCTTTCTTTCCTGCTAAAGCTGGCATGTTTCTGCTGTCAGGAAGGTTGCTCTCCAGTGGTCTCCCTTGTATTCCCCAGGGATTCTAGCAGTCCATGCATGGGTGTAGTGTGCTATCTTTTATCCCAAATGAATCTTTAAAAAAAGACAATGGGCGGGTGGGCTGGAGACATGACTCAGAGGTAAAGAATACATATCACTCTTGGAGAGGACCTGAGTTCAATTGCCAACATCCATGTCAGGCAGCTCACACCTGTAACTCCAGCTCCAGGGCATTTGAAACCCTCTTCTGTTTCCTTCTGAAATCCTTGGCTGGTACCTGATGTTGGCACTCACATGCACTTACTTTGGTCTTTTCATTTTGAGATTGAAATTTATTTTATTAGTAAGACATGTATTAAATATTTGGACATCTCTATACTAAAACAATATACCATCAAACAATCACAATAACATGAGAAATGCAATTCTATATGTATCAACCATGGACATTTTATCTATAAAAATAAACACAAGGCAAAAGATAACCATGAGACCACACTATGGTGAGAGGTTAAAAATATCAAGAGTATTTGAAGATACAAAAAGCCACTCTTAAGTTTTCACCCCTTCCTTTCCCCTTTGACTACTGGAATTACTTAAAAAAAAAGTGCAGTTGAGTTCTTGAGGTAGGCTTGGATTAACTTAGCTCAGCTCTTGCCCTTCCTGACGTGTAGTTCTGAAGACTAATGATTGAATGTGCTGGAATGTGACATCCTGAGATGCGTGGTTACTGAAAGTAATCTCGGCTTTGTTCCCTTTCTCCCCAAGAAACAGAATGTCCTTCAGTGCTTGAGCCTAGCATGTCATATGGTCCTGAACAAGTTGGTTTTTTGGGGGGGCCCTCTCTGCAGTTCAGGTTGGGTACAGAATGTCTTCCTGATCTTTGGGGGCTCTGGCTGGCAATGGAACTTAGGCAGCTGCTTCTTGGTGCCTATGAAGTAATGGGTGTTTTTCAGTTAAGAGTGTGTGGGTATTCTTTCTCACCAGACTCAGATAGGTAGGTAGCCAGTGCATAATGAAACTGATTCACAAGCTACTCCTTGTCTGTTCTTTTCTGACTTCTACAGAAGCGTCTTCAAATTACATGGCTTTTAAGTCTTTTTCTTACCATCACTTCTCTGGTCCAAGTATGATGTAACTAACTATCTGAATCCTTTTTGAACTGTTCACACATAGAGTGAGTGGCCTTTGGGTTTCTGGTAGTAGTTTTATATCAAGCTTATGGCTAGTGACATGGCTCAACAATTAAAGACACCTGCTGTCAAGTCTGCTGATCTGAGTTTGATCCCTGTAACCTACATGATAAAAGGAGAGAAGCAACTCCAGAAAGTTATCCTGTGACCTCCACATGTGGGCTGGTGTGTGTGCACACACCCACTAAACAAAAACGTAATAAAGAAGTTTTATATTAATCTAAGGATCGGTACTAGCTTTCCTATGTAATTCATTCATTAATTAAATTATTTTCATAGTTTCAAAGTACAGTGTAATTATCCTGACTTCCTATTAAAATAGCAATTAGGCTCTTTAATGTTTTTATTTTCTTGCTTTCTTAAGTTAGCATACAAAGTAGTGGGTTTCATATGGCATTTTCATACATACAGGTAGCTTCACTTTGCTCCTGTTCATTCCCCTCCCCTACTGCCCTGTGCCATCTTCTTTCCCGTCACCTTGCCTCCCTCCAGTAGTCCCTTCTCTTTCATGTCATGTGTGTGTGTCCACTACTCTTTCTCTCTCTCTTTCGATCTCCCTCCTCTCTCAAAGTCACTTTCTCCTCTTTCAGTTGGGTCTCTTTCCACCATGTGGGTTGTGGGGATTGAACTCAGGCCAGCAGTCTCAGCCATGTGCTCCTTTACTTGCTAAGCCATCTTGCTGGCTCCTAAATATCTGGTTTTTATGTCAGTGCCATCCTATTTTTCTTATAATAGGATCATTACGACTTTGTGCTATAATTTGAAATCAGGTATTGTAATACCTTAATATTTGCTCAAGGTTGCTTTGACTATTTGGGGTCTTTTGTGATTCCATATGAAGTTTAGGATTGTTTTTCTATTTCTATGAAGAATATCAGAAGTTTAATGGGGATTGTACTGAATCTGTAGGCTGCTTTTGACAATATAGCCAGTTTCATAATATTGATTCTGCCAACCCATGAGACAGGAAGGGGGTCATTCCATCTTCTCTTGTCTTCAGTTTTCTTAATTGTCTTAGAGTTTTCATTGGCAAGATTTTTCACTTCCTTGGTTAGGTATATTTTATTTTTATTTTTTGGGAGCTATTATAAATAGGATTTCTCTCCCTGATTTCTTTCTTAGCAAGTTTGTTATTAATATATAGAAAGGTTGCTGATTTCTGTATCTTGATTTTTGTAAACTGCTACTTTGCTGAGAGTATTTCTTCGATGTGAATTTTCTGGTGGAGTCATTAAGGTCTTTTAAGTATAAGATTGTGTCATATGCAAATAGAGATAGATACTTCGGCTTCTCCCTTTCTTTGTATCCCTTTTGTTTCTTTCTCGCCTTATTACCGTAGCAAAGACTTTGAGCAATATATTGAGTAGGAACAGCAAGAATGAGCACTCCGTCTTCTTCCTGATTTTAGAAGCAATGACTTTGAGTTTTCCCCATTTAGTGTCCTGTTGGTTAGATGTTGTATATACCTTTATTGTGATGAGGTATGTTCCTTCTTCTCCTGCTTTCCTCAGGCTTGTATTACGAAGAGTTGTTGACCTTTTCTGTGTCTATTAAGATGACTGTATGGTTTCTGCCTCAATTAGCTAGAGATTCTTTTGATTTTACTTTCATCATTCTCAATGCAAATTTGAATGTCTTAAACATATACCTGTCTGAAATTATTTAAGAAAACCTCATAAGAATCATATTTAAGCTGTAATAAGTAAATATATGTCATTGTGACTGAATGTTCATGTCCCTACAACCTGTCTTTTTATGAGAGTGGTTCACTCTATAGTCAGCCCAGAGGCTTGGCATAGCTTATATATAGCCCAGGGCAGCCTCAAAGTCACTGTCTTGCTGCCTTAGTCATCTGATTACTGGGATTATGTGTGTTCCCATGTCCAGCTTCTCCTATAATTCTTTGCTTAAGGCCTTAATCCCCAATGTGATGGAACTTATAGATTGGGGCCTTTAGTGTATAAATTAGGGATACATGAGGTCATAGGGTGCAGTTCTCATGATAGTATCTTTGTAAGAAGAGACATGAAACTTCTTTCTCCATGTACTCATAGAAAGAAAAGGCCATGTGAGTCTACAGTGGACTGGTAACTACTTACATGCCAAGAAAAGTGGACTTAGAATGCATCTATTTGGAACCTTGAATCCATGGGCTCCCAGTCTCAAGAACGATGAGATACATATTTCCATTGTTTAGGCCACCCAGCCTGTGGTGCTTTTTTCTCCTCTGGCATCCTGAGCTGATTCTTTCAGTTTCTGTCTCATATATTATATATGTGAGTACTCAGATATACTACATTCTGGCAACCTAAATAGTAATTAGAGATTCTTCTAAGAATCTTTGTGAACAGATCAGCATTTCAATGGAAATGTATATGCCATGGTAAACCATGAGTATTTAAAGAAATTTGGGCAAAGGAAAGTTTTTAAAGATAAACATGATGATGATTACAAAAGACACTTGAAATTGTCTTTCTTGGCCACAGGATAAATAATAGTGGTGCCAGTCATACATTGAAGAAGACAGATGTTGGGCCAGAGGCCTTAGATCAGAAGTGTGTTTAATTCATAAATATTCTTAGTTCTTTAATGAAACAGCCTTGTGTCATGCTCTTTAGAGATGGTGTTAAAATTTTAAACACTTTTTATTATCACCTTTCCTTAAGGTATTCCCATCTGTCAGCAGCACTTAATTTGGAATAACATGGAGCTTGAAGATGATTATTGCTTGAATGATTACAAGTGAGTGTAATTACATATTAGCAGCTTTATAGGCATGCAGTATTATATATAACTCCACATGCCAGTGTTTTTCCTCATGTCTGTCCTGAACAGCTTGATCCCAGCTTTCATTCTGAATTTTGACCTCTAGACGCGTTGGCTTAGTACCATCTTTGTTCTTGGTCTTTGTTCTCTGATATTTGTTGTTCACCTTCAGTGAACTACATGCTGAGCTTTTTGTCCTTGCCTTCTTGCATGGTTATAGTAACTTCTTGTTTTCTTTGCCTTTTTCTTTCAATGTTGACCCATTCTCTCCTGGTCATGTTTCTTTTCTTCCCATTTTCACAAGTTTTGGGCATGAGAGAGTTCTCTCTGCTGAGACTTTGTTCATTAGGTCCCTTTTCTCTTTAAGAAGTGGTACTGTGTACATCAGTGGTTATAAATGTGCTTTCGACATTTTACCTATTTCCTCTCATGTTATTTCTTACACTGAGGACAAAGGAACTAGGAGGCTGAGAGGTGGAAGAACACCAGGAGTCGGCAGAGCTGGTGGATTTGCAGTTTTATTTTTATTTTGAATGAATTTTCTGTTTCCTAATTCTTTGGGTTTTGACTAAGTTTATCTTCCTTCATGGGCCCCCTTTTTGTATTTTTTGAGACAGGATTTCTCTGTGATGCTCTGGCTGTCCTGGAACTTGTTCTATAGACCAGGCTGGCCTCGAACTCACAGAGATCTGCCTGCCTCTGCCTCCAGAGTGTTGTGATCAAAGGTGTGTGCCATCACCACCTGGCTGGGCCTCCTTTTTTAAAAAGCTTATGAGAACTTATAAACTTTCTGTAATTTATATAGGCAAATAATATATTTATTCATATTGCTGTGTCTTTCTTCATATTTTAGGGAATATATATATATATATATATATATATATATATATATATACACACACACACACACACACACATAGTAAGACTAATAAATCACATAATTAGTGGTTCTTTTGACACTGATTGTTATTTGGTGATTATAGTTTATTTTTGTGCTAACTGTTCACAGCATTTCAGAAGGTTGTACCTTGAAGCTGGTATTGGCTATGCGTGGTGGACCGATAAGTACTAGAAAAGGTAGGCATACATTAAAGCATCTAACAATCATTATTAAGTAATTTAGTAGTACTATTCTTCAGGGGGTTAATGTTTTTTAAAGGCTCTCATTTTAGCCAAGTGCCTTTTCTGTGTTAGGTCTTTGATTCTTTTAGGCATTATTCTTTAAAACCTAGATATATAAACACTGGAACTCCAAAATATAACCCCAGAATAAACCCCACATGATTCTAGATTCAATCCAGGAATATTTAAAAATAAAACTTAGTAGTAAAGGAAGGAGAAATGTAATGATAATATAAATATCACATTAGCATTGTATTTAGATTTATGTCAGTCTTGTTGCTTTTTAAACTCTGCTTGAGTTTTAAATTCCAGGGATAATTATTTGCTATAGGATATAACTGAATTGCCCTTTTACCTGGGATAAAACTGAATTTCATAGTCCTGTTGAATCCTTTCTCCAAATGTGGGTGGTCTCTGGAATCCATTCATTCATTCAACAAATGTATAGTGAGCATCTACTGGATTCTAAAATATATTTTACTTTACCTTTAATGATGTGTTTATATGTGTGCTTCTGTGTGGGTATGTACACATGAGTGCAGGTACCTGCAGAGGCCAGAAAAAGGCATTGGATTCCCTGGAACTGGAGTTTCAGGGTGGTTATGAGCTACCCAGTGTGGGTGGTGGGAACTGAACTGGGGTCCTCTGCAACAGTAGGATGTGCTCCTGACTGTGGAGCCGTTTCTCCAGCTCCATCTATTGATTTTGAGTGAATGTCCCAAGTGCAGTAAACAAGGGAGACAGAGCCTCTGCTTCATAACTCTGCCTCCTAAATGTGTGAGAGACTGATGGAACTTCAAGTGTTTGTGAGTTCTATGTGGGAAATAGGCAGGAGAATGTGATAACAACTGTAGAAATAGCATAGTAGGGAACGTCTGTGAGAAAGATGGCATGAGCCGAGACTTAATTAGTAAAAAGGTTTGTCTTAGTGCCATTACTGTGAAGAGTCACCATGACCACTGCAACTCTTATAAAAGAAAGCATTTAATTGGGATTGGCTTACAGTTTCAGAGGTTTAGTCCATTATCTCACATAGGCAGACATGGTAGCTGTGAGAGTTCTACATCCAGATCTGCAGGTAGTAGGAAGAGGGAGACCCTGAGCTTGGCATGAGCTTTTTAAACCTCAAAGCCCACCCCTAATGACACACTTCCTCCAACAAGGCCATACTTCTTAATCCTTGTCAAGTAATGTCATTCCCTAATGACCAAAAATTCAAATATATGAGTTTATGGGGGGCATTCCTATTTAAACTACCACAAGGTTTTAATCCAGGGAAGAGCCAGGAGCATGCTTTCAAGTCAGGTCTGTCCACAGGCAGCCCCACCATGACAGCCATGCTCAGAGTAGTCGTGCTCTATGGCCCTCATTTTAAGAAGGCCTTCACACTTGTTTGCACCTCCACAATAGAAAACTGGAAATTGAGTGTAGATTCCCACATGCCAAATTACATCCCCATGCTTTATAATTTTGGTTAAAATTGGATTATTAAAATGTTTTTTTCTTATCTACCTTAAGAGCAGTTTGTGAGAACTGCTAAACTATTTTGCATTAGTTAGAGAAAACAAAGGAAATGATGTTAAAGCTGACTGAGCAGCGCTCTGACATTAGAAATTCTCTGTTAACCGATTTCTGAAGTAGGTGTATGGGTTGCAGAGTTGAGACAGCTTGCTTCACAGTCATGAGGACTAGAGTTCAGATCCCAGCACTCGTGTAACCAGCCCAGCATCCCATAAGTGCCTGTCACTCCATCTCCGAGGGATTTAACATCCACACCCCCAAATACATGTGCAGATACAGCCATGCAGACATATAAATAAATAAATAAAATTTTAAAAGGAAATAATTGTATGTCACATTTGTAAGAACTCTGTTTACTGAGCCATTATATCAAGTTAGAGTTATATAGTATTTAATGGTTTGTGCATCCTATTTTAGGAAGTTGATAGTATGTACTATTGCATCTTTAAAGTTCATTTAGTCTCTCAGACTCATCATTTGGAAAGAGCCTTTATCATATGAATTACAATAATTTAGCTTTTAAAATAACCATTATCTAAACAAAGTGGGGAAGCAGGCATTAATGGTAATAACATGTGTAATCTGAGTACCCATGAAGCTAAGGCGAGAAGATGGCAAGTTACAGGCCAGCTTAGGTCATAGAATGTTAAGGCTTTGCCTTAAAATAAACAGCACAAGAAAGCAATCATCCCTTTCCAAACTTACATCCTAAATTGTATTGCTTTTAGGTGACAAAATCTTAATGAATGGTGAGTTATGAAGAGGCATGCACAATTAGACAGCCTTAGCACCTCCTGGCTTAAGACATGGGTTTAGGAAAGGCTTTTTTAGTAGCTATGGTAATATTTACTTCTTAGTGCTGTAATATGAAAAGTGGGACTTTTAAGTTTTGAAAATAGTTCTGGATACTGTGGTGTTTGCCTGTCATCCCAGCCATGTAGGAGCCCGAGGCAGGAGGATTGAAAGTAGAAAGAGCAAATCAAAATGTTATGTTTCAGAAGTAGTGGTATTAAATTTAGACTATGGGGTATCTTTGATATCTTTACCTGATTACTTTCAGAATTTAATATTTTTCTGTTGGTGTTTCTTTTTGTTTTATTTTTCTTTCCTGTGCTGGCAGTTGAACCTTGAGCCTTGTGCCTGTTAGACTCAAGCTCAGCTGCTCAGCTGCATTCCCTGAATTCACTTCCTAAGGGCATGAAACCTTCATTACTAAGTAAAAGAAAGTTAGGCGACTTTGAAAATGGAGGACAACTGGGTACCACTGGCCTACAGTTCGGAGGAGTGTCAGAGTGACTCCAGTAGGCCTCTGTGAGTCTCATGCCCTGATTGGACATATACACACACCCTGACCACGACACCTGGATCATGAGAGGAGCCTTTCAAGAAACACATATTGATCCTTTCATACAGTGCAGTTTTAGCACACTAAAATGACTTCCCTGTGCTTTGCTTGTGCACTACTTCAAGGAGCAGCTGTCAAAGAGTCTGTTCTTATATAAAACTTAAGGGAGAAAAAGATTTACTTGTTTCTTTCTTTTTGCTTTATTTTGTTGTTTTCTTTGGCTGCTGCAGACTGAACCTAGGACCTTGGGCATGGTGGTTATCACTCTACCATCGAATTTTGTCTCTAGTTCTCTCTTGCCTCTAATTTCTTGAATATGTTTCCCAATTGTGTATGTGTGCATACGTTTACTTTCTAAAGTAAGTGGGATTTATAATACATTTAAGTGATTGGTTGTTGGAACCAGTATATAAAAGCACAGGAAGCTAAAGGGTAGCTAAAATAATGATAGATAATACTATAGACTTATAGTATATAATCTGTATATAGTCTATCAACTGTACTGGTACAGAAATACAAATGACCTCATGTTTTAAGTTAAGCCATGTCTTTGGGCATGTAACATAATGATGCATTTTTTTTTTTTTTTTTTTGTTTTTGTTTTTCGAGACAGGGTTTCTCTGTGTAGCTTTGCGCCTTTCCTGGAACTCACTTGGTAGCCCAGGGTGGCCTCGAACTCACAGAGATCCGCCTGGCTCTGCCTCCCGAGTGCTGGGATTAAAGGCGTGCGCCACCACCGCCCGGCTTTTTTTTTTTTTTTTTTGTAATACAAAACAAACCATGAATTTGAGAAGATACGGGAGAGACATAGGAAGAATTGGAGGAAGGAGGGGGAAAATAATGAAAATACAATACTCATTAAATTCTAAAAAAGTAAGGGATGCTGTATAGAATATAAAAATATCAGAAGCCTGTTTGGAGAGTGTTATTTATCGCATGTACAGTATGGTTGTATAAATTCAGCATATATATCCTGTTACTGTAACAAGATGCAAAAATGTTGATATGAATTGAAAGCCTGTTTATCAATCTTTCCATTTGTAGTTCTTGTGGAAGACCCACTTAGGGAGCTTGCTGAGTACATGGATTCCAGTCGGGACGAGGTCTGGGAAAAGACCTCTTGCAACAAACAAGTTACATTTTTGGTATACCGAGAAGGAGATCAATTGAATTTCTTTCGTGTAGTAGATAGGGGAGATGGCACTTTAACACCGTTATCTGAATCTTTAAGGTAAATGGGTTTCATTTGCATGTTTCACTTAGAAATAGAGACTGTACTGCACACTTCAGAAGCCTTTGTGTATTCTGTGGGTTATTAGAGTAGCCATAGTGTATTAATAGATCAAGTAAGTTTCATGTGCTCTCCATCCCTTTCCCTGATAAGTAGTTCTGAAATCATCCTTCATGGGGCTGACACTTAAAAAGGAATTCCTAAATTTTAATTTTCTTTACTTGATAGTTTTTTTATAAATATGGTTTATTTCCATCTATTTGTGCAACTCTAAGATGTTTACTAGAATATAGTCTTGTGATAATAGTATATTATTACATTATCATGATGTAGCAGAAAGGGTTAATCCTAAAGTTGGTATCATTTTTAACTCTGCTACTTAAAAATGGGTAAATTTCTTTCTTTTTTATTTTGTTATTATGTAAGAGGAAATAAATTGTATATTGCTTTTCAAACCAGAAGGAAAACACTATTGATTGCTTAGGTAGGCAGTAGAAAAATGAAAGAATTGGGACAAGATGATTTCTTAAGTTTCTGTGCATTTCAACTTACTATGAGTCTCTCCTTTCACTTTTATTTTTATTTTGAATTACACTATTTATTTGTGTGTAAGCGTGTTGGCATGATTGTACCGTGATGCATGTGGAAGTCAGAGGACATCTTGGGAGAGACAGTTTCTTTCCAACCTGTGGGTCCTGAGGATTGAACTTATGTAGTAAGGCTTGGCAGCAAGTTATTTGACTGGTTGAACTGTTCCCTCAGCTCTCTTCACTTTTAAGTCATTAAACATAACTGAACATTTGGCCAGTATAAAGTAATACAGAGGCACCGTGTTACAAAGAGTATCTCCACCTTCTCTGAGCATCATCCATTTGCTATAGTCCTGGTGCTGTGATCTTGGTGATTGTTGCAGAGGATATGATCTCTGGGATCAGATGAGTTGGCCTTCAGTTCACCTGAAATGTAGAGTTAGAGATGGCTGGTGAGGCGTGATCTTAAATGAGGACAGCTTTGCTAAACAAAGGAAGGAAAGATACCATAGGGAACTAAAGTGAGGCTCACAGAAAGATAAAAATCTAGTGCTAAAATTATTCAAAAGAAAGCCCAGCTTGTGATCTGGAGAGCAGTGTCTTCGGGTGAGACATCTAAGTAGAGTATAGCTAGTGCTCTGTTCAGGTTCCCCCTCCCCTGCACCTTATACAAAAGGGAAGACAGTGTGTGTTCTGTAGTTTTGTTAGGAGAAAGAACCTGCCTTCACAGTCACATTCACACTGTGATAGGATTCATTTCCTTCCGCTTAGGTGATTGAGGGCCCTAGGATTTTGTGGCTGCTGGTTGGCTAGAGACTTCTCGCAGCTCCCTTTTGATTAACTCAGAACAAAGTGATTTGGGGCCTAAATTACATCTTCAGAATCCCTTTACTTTTGCCATAGTCAGTTGGCCAGACCTGTCATATTGGGTTATACCCACACTCAAGGACAGACTGTGCTGGTATAAACTCCAGAGGTGGAGAGCCATACAGTTTCCCCTAAGATTTTGCTCAGAGTGTGTGGAAAGAGAATTTACACTCCTGGTGTGCGCGTGTGGGGGGCGGGGAGGTGAGGGCTACAAAGAGCCAACTAACAATCAGAGACTGTTTTCTTAATGGGTCAGTATCTGGTTAGAACTAGACATGTGACACTTGTCTTGGAGAGACATGGAGAGGGGTTAGCAATGAAGATTAATGAAGATTACTTACTGCCTTGAATCACTAGCAGAATTCTTTTATAACAGTTTCTCCATATGTGAGGGAGACCCTTGATAATATGTCACCCTCAGATTTTCAGGTCTTTTTATATGCCATGTTTTAAATATACTTTTCCCCATTTGCTTGTAATGTCATTTCCACATCTCAGTTTCATTTTCCTCTAGGTAATTTTTACCGTGTCTTTTTTGAAGCTAAGGCTGGCTTTGAACTCAGTATGTAGTAGAAGGAGGCCTTACACTCTTGATCCTCCTTTCTTTACCTCCCAAGTGCTCAGATTACAAGTGTGTGCCACTGTGCCTGGCTCCCCTGGCTAACTTCTGGTTTTGTTATTTACATTTATTTATTGTGTGTGCATGCGTGTGTGTGTGTGTGTGTGTGTGTGTGTGTGTGTGTGTACTTGTGCTATACACACATGCATGTGAATATATGTGTGGAGGCCAGAGGGAACTTACAGGAGCTGGTTCTATCTTTCTATCACAGATAGCTCACAGAGATGGAGCTCAGGTTGTTAGTCCTACACAGAAAATACCTTTATTTACTGAGCCATCTTGCTGGCCTTTAATTTCAGTTTGTGTTTACCACTTAACCCAAATATTGTCATGAAGTTCATGACATTAATGTGTACTTTCTGTACAGGTCACCAAAAATCGTAAGTGTTGCTAGAGTTTTCCTGCCTGGCCCACAGTCAGGACAAATCTCTCTCACCCGCCAGTCCCAAGCCGCTCAAACCCGATCAAGTAAACACAGAGACTTATATTGGTTACAAACTGTATGGCCGTGGCAGGCTTCTTGCTAACTGTTCTTACAGCTTAAATTAATCCATTTCTATTAATCTATACCTTGCCACGTGGCTTGTGGCTTACCGGTACTTTACATCTTCCTTATCCTAATGGCGCCTGGCAGTGTCTCTTCCACCCAGCTTCCTGTTCTCTCAATTCTCCTCTCTGTTAGTCCCGCCTATACTTCCTGCCTGGCCACTGCCAATCAGTGATTTATTCATTGACCAATCAGCAACACATTTGACATACAGACCATCCCATAGCACGTAAGAAAAAAACATGATTGAGTGATCATTATGGTTTGAATTTGAGAAGTCTCCAAAGCCTCCTGGCTTTGTTGTCAGTTGATGATAGGCTTTTGGGAAGTGATTGAATCCTAAGCACTCAGACATACTTAATAGATTTGTGGATTTATGATATCATATTGGGAGGTAGGGCCTAGTGAGGAAATGGGTATGAGGCTTATGCCATGGAAACTATAATCCTGGCTGTGTCTTCTTTCTCTTAAAAATATTTATTTGTTATTTATTTGTATGCATGTGTATGTGTGTAGGATGTGGAAGTCAGACGAAAACTTGCAGGAGTTGGTTCTCTTGCCTTATCGGTCCTGGGGATTGAACTCAGGGTGTCAGGCTTGGTGGAAAGAGCATTTCCCTCTGAAAGCTTTCTTCTCTTTCTCTCTGCTTCCTTCTGGCTCTGATGAGGTGAGTAGCTCTGTCCTGCCTGCCATGTGCTTCCCACCATGATGTCTTGTGTTATTATGGTCCAGGAATTACAGAGCCAAGTGACCATGGATTGAAACCTCTAAGATCATGAGCCAAAATAAATCTTCCCTCCTTTTAAGTCATTCCAATTATTTGTCACAACCATGGAAGAGCTGAAACACAGATAAAATTTTACTCCCCCTAAGCCATCCAAGTGATGACCAATAAACCTATGAGATAAGTGACATTAACTGCTGATTCTACTGATGTAGTGATGAATGATGGATTCACATATTTATCAGATGTTTCTATGGGGAGGGGTCAAAATAACTAGAGGCAGCCACTTATTCATAAGTTGGAATTAAAACACCTAGGGAGTAGCTTCTCAAGGAGACGAACCTGCGAATGTGAGAAGTTCAAGAGTGGATAGGAAGAGATGTGAAGAAACCCAGACTCCGCAGATTGGAGCAGAGAGAAAGGGACTGTAGCAGCACAGGGGATGGAAGAGGTTCCAGAAGAGGCAGATACCTAGGAAGTACAACTAACATGGAATTAGCGTGGCGCAGAAGGGCAATCTTAATACCGCTTTTCAGGAATCCGCAAACAGGCTGCTGGTAGAGAACCTTCCTGCGTCTCCCAATACACATTGATGGCGATGTTGTGAGGAAGGTGGTGTTCTTGAGAAGGGAGAAGAGTATGTTGGAGCTTATGGCTTTGGGAAACAAGCCCCTGTGTTTTACTGTCCCCTTCTGTATTGAAACCTTCTACAAAAGTGAATATGCTTTCAGTGAATAGCTTTGAAAACCAATTTGTTCATAGAGGAGACTGTCATACTGTAATTCTGTGCCAGAGGTACTTGGTGGGCAACAAGAAAAGGTTGCAGAACTGACCTCCCCTTTAACAGTGGAAGCACCGCTGCTAGCTTAGGAGCTGGAAGAACCAAGCAGATGCACCCGATTAGATGGTAGCTGAAGGCAGTGGTGGATTGCTGGCCTGCCATCCCCAGCTCCTCAGTGCAGATAGTGTGTTGCTCTTACCCCTAGTTGGCCTCACAGTGTCTAACCTCGACCTTTGCTCTCTCAGAGAGAGACGTGGAAACAAGACATGGGTCTAAGAGCTGACTGAAATAGTAATGTCTGCTCTTCACACATGCAGGGGACCATTTCAGGACAGATAATACTTTCCTTTTTTATTAGGACTATTTTGGTAATTGTTTGGTGCATGTATTTTGCTTCACATTTTTCTCTTTGTCTTCTAATACTTCCTTTTTTGTTTAATTTGTATTACTGACTTTGTTTCTACCTCTGTCTCATTTCCTTTTCAATCTTTCTCTCCTTCCAGGATTTGAATCCAGGGCTTTGCATATGCTAGGCAGCTGCAAACAATGAGCTAATATTCCCAGTTCTCTTTTTAAATTTTCTCATGTTTTGTGACCTGTTCTTTTCCTTTTACTCCTAGGTAATTTTGTCATTTAAATGTTTTAAATAATTTATATCATTTTTATTTATGTGTGTGCATACGTACATACACGGTGGGTGGGCAGTGGACAACTTGAGGGAATTCTGCCATGTGGGTTTGGGGACTTGAACTTAGGTTGTCAAGCTTGGCAGCAAGTTCCATTGCATACTGAGCCATCTTTACAGTCCCATCTTTGCTTTGTATTATTTGGCCTGCCATTCTAGTTGTTAGTGGCATTTAATATATTGTAGTTTTCCTTTATTTCTGTGTCTGATTTGCTTGCATTAGCATGTTCCTCTTTCCAGAAAGTGT